ATCGAAACATTGTTGTGTATGTTTTGGAGTAAATGTTTTTCTTTTTACGGTTCGACGATTTCAACGACAATTCTCCCTATTACTTTGGCATCGAAACATTGTTGTGTATGTTTTGGAGTAAATGTTTTCCTTTTTACGTTTCGGTGATTTCAACGACAAAGCTGCCTATTACTTAAGCATCAAACTTTGTCGTTTAAGTTTTAAGTAAATTTCTCTCTCCCCCCCCCCGTTTTGTGGTTCGATAATGTATACACCTAATAATAACTAAGATTTTAGTATTTTAAATGTTATACCAGCCGGCAACTTATTGGCGTGTACAGTTTTCGTAAATGATTCTCAATCGATTTAGATGTGTCAATGTTAGAGGAAGTTAGAGTTATAGTGATATAGTTAATGAGAAATGTAACTGACAATGAATAATGAGCTCATATATCTTAGTAATGATAGTGTTGAGGATCAGCATCATTATTCGCGGTGCTTCTTACAGATTTTTTTTCTCTCCGGGATGAAGGGGTGGGTGGATTACTTCTTTCCGTCGGGGGGGGGGGGGGTGACGACCCTGGAAAAGTATATACGTATATGTAGACGTACATACAGAAGCGATGCCTGAAAGAAACTGATTATTCCTAAGATTTTACAGACATTTTTACTTTTTTTTTGGGGGGGGGGGGGGCTATTGGTTTGACAAAGTCTTTCGCCGTCTGGTCTCATGACGTCACGTTTGTCATGCGCAGTGGAGAGGTTGTGTGAAGAATGATTCAGGGGCGCAACTCTAGACGGACAATACTCGAATCTCATTATCCCCCCTTTAGCTTAAAAATCATCAACCCCAGCTGTTTTTCTTTCTTTCGCAATAAGTGCACTAGATCTAGGCCTAGTAATGCTTTTGACTTTCCCATGATCTTAATGAGTACCGTGGTAGCTTTTTTCCTCGCTAGGGAGAATAGTATGTTAGTGATTGTGTGCGCAGGTCTTAATAGCTATGGGTGAATAGAAATTGTAATGGATTATTTCGTTTAAACTTTAAAGGCTAGATTTATGTAAAATTGTTGTTTTAAAAAATAAATACAGTAGAAAATTGTAATACATCAGTTTTCATTAATAACATAGTTCGATTTAGGTTGTAAGTTGACATATTACAAATACGTACTTTTTTTATCTTGGTGTTTTAAAATAGCAAAAATTTGAAGACGTAGAGGTCTTAACAGTGATTAGCTGCGAAATATTAAAATTTAGGAGTCTTAGTAAAAGAAACGTATTTTATGTAAAGAAATAGAACTTCAGGTTTAACAGTAAAGTATCTGTTTTAAATCTAGCAGGAAAAAAAAAAGAATTAAGTAGGTATAGTCTTAAAAAAATCAAACGAAAGAGTATCTGTAAAATGTATCGTTTTATCAGTAAAATACCAACTTGTGTGTGTCGGTGAATAAAAAAATCAACCTTAGATGTCTTATTAAAATACTAACTTTATGTGTATCAGTAAAAAATAATAATAAAACATAGATGTATCATTAAAATATTAACTTTAACTGTATCAGTAAAAACAATAAAAAACCAAAGATGTATCGTTAAAATATTAACTTTATGTGTAACAGAAAAAAAATATAAATTAAAAAAAACAAAGATGTATCGTTAAAATATTAACTTTAAGTGTATCAATAAAAAAAAACATAGTTGTATCGTTAAAATATTAACTTTAGGAGTCGAAGTAAAGAAAAAAAATGGTTACAAAAATGTCTATAATCTGAGTGGCACGGAGCTGTAGGTCATGTTGACACACCTTAAATAGCCGGGCAGACACCCATTTACCTGTTATCTTACCTATCCTTCGTCAGTCCGGATTGGATACGCTCGGGTTCAGGTATCCACGTGGGATTATGTGGATTATATCCAGTTGTACTCATCAATTCTTTTTGTATGGATTATATGACGGGTACAGTTTGGTAAAGTATAGTTTACTAAATTTTTGTTCTGTTTTATATATATACCAGCGATTCACAAAATGTGGGGTACAGCGATGATTAACACCTCAGCTTAATTGTCTTGTTCAGAAGTAAAAACAAGTCGTGTAAAGGTTAGACTTCTAGAATAATGGCTGTGGGTTTAGTAGGGAGCGTTCATTTTAATTTTAGTGGGGTTGTTGTCTAAGGCTTGTGACCAAAAGGTTGGAGTGAGGTAGTGGTGTGATTTATTTTTTTTTAAATTATGAATCGTATGGTAATAATTCAGATCGTTTTACTTGTGTAGTTGTATATTTTATGATATGTTTTAACTGATATTATAACTTCAATACGGAAAGTGACCTTTGGTGATATATGATGTGTGAAAAGTTCGTTTTGACGCGACGAAGTTTAAAAAAAAAGGAAATAAATAAATACATTGTATGTTTATTGCCTCACCATCGCTTTTGTTTGCTAAAAAAAGGAAAAAAAAAAGAAAGTATTAAGTCATGTTGCTTTAGACACGATTAATGGGTTGCATTTTTTTATCTCGTTAAAAGAATTCAGTTTTGCGGTTTGATTAGAGTTAGACTAAGGTGGAATGTTTTGGTTTAGATTCGACTGTGGGGGAGGGGTGTGCAACAGTTAATGAAAATCTGGCAAAATTGGGATTTATCTTCTATTGTGAAGTTACACCCGGCATTGAGACCCTTGCCACGCGAACAAAGGGAATTATCGTGTCATACGTAAGCTACGTCTGCGTAACTCATGTGGTCTAACGCCAGGGTTAGGCTTGTTTTGGGTCCAACGACTTACGCCCCACGGGACGTCTGCCCCGTAGGAGTTTACATTTGAAATTTTCTCTGACGGAGAACCCCCTACCCCTGCACCCCACCTAACGACGCCATTGGGTAATTAAATAAAAATCACCGTCTTTTTAAAAATAAAAACATCAATGGTATACAGTCACCCCTCGCTACTAAGCGGTGATTTATCACGGCTTCAGTACACACACACGCACGCACACACACACACACACACACACACATACACACACACACGCGCATGCACGCACACACGCACGCGTACGTATGTATGTGTGCATGTAATTATCTGTCAATTGTTTTCAAGAATTGTTTAGTATTCCACAACGGTACATATAACTCAGTTGAATTTAGTCTCCGTGGTAAGTTCATAGCTTAGGGCTTGCCAATATTTTTAAAATGCAGCTTTTCCATCCGTTGTAATATTTTTTCATTTCTTTCCAACAATTTTCATACCTTTTCCAATGTATTTAGGCCAGATGTTTTTTTTTTTACTTCCTCTTTTCCTTGATCCTACAAGGACTATTCACAAAGGGAAAAAAAATGCAAAATTTAAATTACAAAATAACACACGCACAGCAATAAAAATCTCAATTTGTTCAAGACACTAAACTAAAACTCCTGTAACTAAATCCCATCAATCAAGTCTTATTGTTCAGGTGTCTCTTGCTAGCAGATTATTTAATAAACAGAAAACATTCAACTGTAAGTATTCTAAGGCTCACGTGGTCTTATATAAAAAGAGCCGTCCTATAACAGTTCGGTGGAAAGGTGTGGTTGCAGCCCTTTACTCCCCAGGGGGGGGGGGGGGCACACAGAGGCGTAGCGACCCTTCCCGGCGCCCGGGGACAAACTTTTCGATTTGCATCCCCCTCGAGATGTCCATTTGCTACCCCCACCCTCAAACTTTCGATTTGCAACACCCCTCGAGATTTCAATTTGCAACCCCTCCCCTTCTTCGAGATTTCGATTTGCACACCCCCCCCTCAAACTTTCGATTTGCACCCCCCTCAACCTTTCAATTTATTTTTCCAACCCATTTTGGCGCCCCCTAAGGTCGGCGCCCGGGGACATATGTCCCCCCTCCCCGCTACGCTACTGGGGCCACAAAGGAATAAAGGACCACAAAGAAATAAAGGGCCACAAAAGAATAAAACTAAGCCAACTGTAAATATTCCTTGTGTTGATCATGTTGCTGTATGACAAACCAGACTATACACGAATGAATCTAGAAACAATAGACCAACCCATGAACGCTGTAATCTCATATCAAACGGAATGATTCATTACCTGTTACAATGTACGATGGTCGCGACCCAAGCATTAAATTGCAACAGCTGCTTTATTAGCAAGATACATGTAGATACAGGAGGGATAAAGTAGATATTTGGTCAAATGTGTGACACGTTGCCCGAAAGTATCGAGCTCGCTCTATAGTTAGTAGTGACTGGGGAACCCTCAATTCTTTTCGATCAGAGTTTCTTTCAGGCATCTCGGGGGGTAGGGAAGGTGGGGGGGGGGGGGGAAGCTCAGCCTCCCCGATGAAAGTCTACCGGCCCTCCCCCACCCCCTCACCCGAACGAATTGGAATTAATATAGATATTTTATCACGGAATTTTTAAGTCAAGAAAATGAAGAAAAAAAAACAAGGTCCAGACGGTATAATCCAAGGGGTTCTGCATGCGATTACTGCTCGTGAAAAAAATGCATGCGATTACTTAACCCATTCAGAGGTTTAGTGTCAGGGCTAAATTGTTTACACTAAATTACTCCCGCCCCCCAACAACACACGTCAATATGTTTAAGCTAACACAATAACATCATCTGGATAAATGGGCCGCGGACGTTTGCTTTGATTTATTTAATAAAGATATGATTGCTGTTTGCAAGATAAATTGGGGAAACTAAGGTACAATGGTGGGGGGGGGGGGGATTTTATGTAAAATAGTCGTTTAAATAAAGGGGATTTTGTCATCTTTAGCCTTCAGATTTAGTTATGCGTAGGCTTTTTTTTCATAGGTTAATGTAGGTGGTAGGTTTTGTCAGATGTTTGTGCAGGTTTGGCCAATTTTTAGGTTTTTTTCATATGTTTTGCTATAAGTTTTGTCAAAGTTTCGTGGCTTGGACTATTCTCAAATGTTCTTCATCTGTTTCCCTTTGACTCCTTACCCCATCCTCAACATAAACCCACTCCGCTAACCACCAACTTGTAACGAGGACTTCTGTACTTCCCCAGCTAGACCTACCATGGCCACCCCAGGATCAAACCCCCCTCGCCTGGCTCTTCTCCTCGCCACCCTCCTGCTTCTAGTCGCCATGGCGGAGTCGAACGGCACGGACGCACGAGAAAGCAGAAGACACAGGAACACCAAACCTAGAAATCACATCAAAGAACCGCAACCCACGCAGCATTCTCAGGATAGCCTCCCTTCCTTCACGAAAAACGCGTCAAAGTTGCCCCCGCGCGCTCAACACAAACCCTCAGGACGGAAACCTCGTAGCGAGAAGCCAAACATTGTTTTTATTTTAACAGACGACCAAGATGTTTTGTTAGGTAAGTGAGAATTAAAAACTTTGCTATCTTATTTTAAATAGTATCTATCTTAGATGTGTATGACTTTGAAGATCAAAACCAGTGTATACTGTATACAGAGGCGTAGCGACCCTTCCCGGCGCCCGGGGACAAACTTTCAATTTGGCGCCCCCTCCCCCATATATTTTTAAATTTATAATGCAAAACTGCAGCTAAAATGAGCTTTTAAATTTTTTTTCAACCCATTTTGGCGCCCCCTAGGGTCGGCGCCCTGGGACATATGTACCCCCTCCCCCCCCCCCTTCGCCACGCCTCCGACTGTATACCCAGCCCTCTAATAGTATTGTTTGTATTATTGCAGTTGCTTTAAAAACTGTGCCAAAACTCCTGATTGTTCTTCCAGAAGCTCTAAAACTAGATCTAGATACATGTTATCCTCAGGAATTTCTGAAAGATACTGTAACATTTAAGCCAAAAACTCATACTATTCTTACATTCTATGAAGCTAAAAGTCCAGAATTTATCTACGAAATTGTCAAATAATTTTTACAGGATCTCTGAAATACATGACTAAAGTCCAAAATTTATCTACAGATTCTCTAAAATTGTCAAATATTTTTTTCAGGATCCCTGAAATACATGCCAAAAGTCCAAAATTTATCTACAGATTCTCTAAAATTGTCAAATATTTTTTCAGGATCCCTGAAAGACATGCCAAAAGTCCAAAATTTATCTACAGATTCTCTAAAATTGTCAAATATTTTTTTCAGGATCCCTGAAATACATGCCAAAAGTCCAGACCCATCTGATCCGGGCTGGAGTCTACTTCAACAATTCCTTTGTCCCCACCCCCATGTGTTGTCCCTCCAGATCCAGCCTTCTGACCGGGATGTACGTGCACAATCACAACACATACACCAACAACGACAACTGCTCATCCCTGGAGTGGCAGAAGTTCCATGAGCCGCATGCGTTTCCTACCTACATGAATGAGACGTATAGTACAGGTAACAGTTTTAAGGTGATAGGTAGGCTGTAGAACAGTGGTTCTTAACCTTTTTGGAGGTACTGAACCCCACTAGTTTCGAATGCGCATTTACTGAGCCCTTCTTTATAGTTGTATTGTCTGCACTAACAAATTCCAATCATGAAGTGTATTAGTTGGGTGTGTCCTGACATCCCTTGAACCCCTGAGACTGACTCTCTGAACCCCTGGGGTTTGATCAAACTGAGGTTAAATAGCACTGGCAGGCTAAATTGAGGTTAAATAGCACTGGCAGGCTAAACTGAGGTTAAATAGCAATGGCAGGCTAAATTGAGGTTAAATAGCACTGGCAGGCTAAACTGAGGTTAAATAGCAATGGCAGGCTAAATTGAGGTTAAATAGCACTGGCAGGCTAAACTGAGGTTAAATAGCAATGGCAGGCTAAATTGAGGTTAAATAGCACTGGCAGGCTAAACTGAGGTTAAATAGCACTGGCAGGCTAAGCTGAGGTTAAATAGCAATGGCAGGCTAAACTGAGGTTAAATAGCACTGGTAGGCTAAACTGAGGTTAACTAGCATTGGCAGGCTAAACAGCTCTAGCAGGCTGTTGATATATAGCAAATAAAGGCTGTAAAACACTGGCAGGCTGTAGATATACAGCACTGTCAGGCTGTAGATATACAGCACTGGTAGGCTGTAGATATACAGCACTGGTAGGCTGTACAGCACATGTAGGCTGTAGATATACAGCACTGATAGGCTGTAGATATAAATGGTTCTAAAATCCGCACCTTGATTTTTTCCTATGTACATTTTTTAACTGTAGCTGCCATTCACTGTCATGCAACTAGCGGAATAAAATAAACAAACATTCTCTAATGATACATATTTTTTACCCTATGCTAACATGGCATGTGGCGTCTCCCTTCAATTTTTTAAAGTCATGTATGTTTTGACTTCTGGTTTGAGCACAAGTTAAGTTTTTAAATCACACTACAGGTCAGGCTGTAACTTTATCCCAAGTATATGATGTCATGGTGTCTTTATCCCAAGTATAAGAGGTCATGGTGACTTTATCCTTAACATAAGGTCATGGTGACTTTATTCCAAAGTATAAGAGGTCATGGTGACTTTATCCCAAAGTATAAGAGGTCATGGTGACTTTATCCCAAAGTATAAGAGGTCATGGTGACTTTATCCTTAACATAAGGTCATGGTGACTTTATCCCAAAGTATAAGAGGTCATGGTGACTTTATCCCAAAGTATAAGAGGTCATGGTGACTTTATCCCGAATATAACAAGTAAGAGTGACTTTATCCCAAGTATGACAGTCACAGTAACTTTAATCCAAAACAGTCCTGGTGACCTTACCCCAAGTATAAGCAGTTTGGCTGACTTCTTCCCAAGCCATAACAGTCCAATAATTTCCTATGCTCATTTTAGAGCAACCTGCCTGACCATAGACTAGCATATAAAACCATACTCTCTTCTCCACTTGCAGGTTATTTTGGCAAGTACCTGAACGAATACGACGGCAACCACGTCCCCCCGGGCTGGCAGAGGTGGCTGGGTCTGATCAAGAACACACGCTACTACAACTACAGCGTCGTGGATGAGAACCTGGTCAAGAGGCGCCACTCTGACAATTACTACGCTGATTATTTTACCGATCTTATAGCCAACGAGAGCAGGGCTTTTCTTCATGAAAGTAAAAAGAGATTTCCCAGCAAGTGAGATAACTAGCAATTTTTAAGTGTTAAACTTTAATTTGAATGTTTTACTAAACATTATATAACTTAGTAGTTGATTGCTTTACATATGTATTGGTGTAGCATTGATTGTCTTTCTTTTCTTTTATCTGTCTTTATATACAAAGAACATTATGGTGGATTGGTATTACACTTAGGGGTTATCAATTTATGACGTCCACAAAATTTTTATATTTTAGCCCCAAAATACACCCCCAGTCCACATGTGTCCACACGTCAATTTTTTTTCTGACCCCCCCCCCCCTTCTCCTCCATGTGGACCTCATAATCGAATGACCCCTAAGTGAAATTCAATAATAAAAATTGTGTGTTTGGTTGCTGAGCTCATTTTGAATGTTCCTGGTCAACACGCTCTAATGGGTACATTGCTTGGTGTGAATGAAATCCTGAAAGTCAGTCATCAACCCATGTGGTCCCCTCATGGTTCACCACTATAGAACCCTCTATCTGCCCTTATCACTTAATATAGCTATGAGAGTTCGTCTCCCTTTGTTTACATACAAATATGAGATTCCTCCCACTTGTTTACATAACATTGTTTGGGATTCTTTCCCCTTGTTTACATACAATAGTGTGAGCTTCACTCCTGTTGTATACACAATACTATGAGAGGTTTTCTCCCTTGTTTTAAATTATGAGATATTCACTTCCTGTGTAAAATAATAAGAAATACTCTCCCCTTGATTAAAATTGTGAGAGATTTTTTCCCTTTTTTGTAATTATGAGAGATGATCTCCCCCTTGTTTAAAATTATGATATATTCTCTCCCCTTATGTAAAAGAATAAGAGATACTATCCCCTTGTTTAAAATTATGAGAAATTGTCTCATCTTGTTAAAAATGTATGTGATATTTTTCTCCCATAATTTACACACAATTATATGTTTCTCTCCCCATGTCTGCAGACATTAATGTGTTTCTCTCCCCTTGTTTATACAATTTATGTGAGTTCTTTCCCCTTGTCTGCATACAATTATGTGAGTTTCTCTCCCCTTGTTTATACAATTTATGTGAGTTCTCTCCCCTTGTTTACACAATTATGTGAGTTTCTCTCCCCTTGTTTACACAATTATGTGAGTTCTCTCCCCTTGTTTAAAAGCATCAGTGGTTCCTTCCCTTTCTCCCCAGGCCAGTGATGATGGTGCTAAGTCTGCCAGCGCCACATGGCCCAGAGGATGCTGCCCCACAGTACCAGCACATGTTTAACAACAACACAGACCACAGGTCAGTACACGCATAGGTCAGAGGTCAGCACACACATCACAGGTCAGTAGGTCATGCCATTGGTCAGTACACAAAAAGATCATTATACACACCACAGGTCAAACCATGTCATGGGTGAGTAGGTCATGTTATGAGTCAGTATAGACAACAGGTCAATATATGTCAGTTCATACCACAGGTCAGTAGGTCATGCCATTGGTCAGTACACAAATAGATCATTATACAAACCACAGGTCAAGTCATGTCTTGGGTGAGTAGGTCATGTCATGAGTTAGTAGACAGACAACAGGTCAGTATACTTGTCATAAGTCAGTGCATGCCAAAGGTCAGTAGGTCATGTCATAGGTCAATATACAGGCCAATACATAGGTAACAGGCACACAGGACTTACTGCAGTTCAGTAGGTCGTGTCAAGAGTCTCTAGGTCATCTCATGGGTCAGTACAGCCAACAACAGGTTAGTATGCAGGTCATAATTAAGGCAACTCACCACATGTAGGTCATGCCATAGGTCATCACAGATTCTTGGTCAGTGAACAGACCACAGGTCAGTACACATGGGAGGACACACAACACTCATACATACAGTACACAACACATGTTATACATCACACATCTCATATGACACACATCTTCACAAGCACAAGTTGTTCCATCTATTTTCGCAGACCACACACATTTGATCTCTTGAGATAAATCGCAGTTTTTAATCAACAGAACACCTGCATGGAACTACGCCCCCAACCCTGATAAACAATGGCTGCTGCAGAATGTCTATCCCATGATCCCGCAGTACAAAATCTTCACAGACCTATTACAGAGGCGCCGGCTCCAGACATTACAGTCTGTTGATGACCTCGTGGAAAGTGTAAGTTGTATTTCCTATATTGATTGATTGTATTTTACATTTTTTAGGTAATTCTTCTTTTGTGTCTTTGTTTTTTAGTTACGTTTAGTTCTTTTCATAGAATTTATTTTTATAATATAGTTGTTTTGATTTAAATTTTTATTGTTGCAGTTTTATCTTAAAATACTTAGGATTGGGTTTCTTTTATACAAAAATTGCAAGTTTTTTTCTTTTAAATCATCAGTTTATTTTGTTTTTTTTTGTTTATTTTTAAATTAATTGTTAGACAGTAGGTGTTTTATGCAATTTTTTTATAACTATGAATTTTTTTTAACTAATTGTTGAAATATGTCATGAAAAGTGTATTTATTAACTAAATTGTTTTAAGTGATTTAAAATTTGAAAACTGAGAGGTAGACACATTTGACAGGTAACTTACAGAAATTGTTGAACTTGATAAATTAACTTGACATTTTCTTATCGACAGATTGTTGAAGAACTTGCCATGCTGGAAGAACTTGACAACACCTACATCGTGTACACATCGGACCACGGCTACCACCTGGGTCAGTTCGGGCTAATTAAGGGCAAGGCCATGCCCTTTGACTTTGATACCCGTGTACCCCTCATCATTAGAGGCCCTGATATACATCCTGGAACTATGTAAGTCATTGTAGGTAATTAGTGAGTCATTTGTAAGTCATTATAGGCCTGTCATGTATGTCATTAGTGAGTCATCTGTAAGTCATTATAGGCCTGTCATTGTAAGTCATTAGTGAGTCATCTGTAAGTCATTGTAGGCCTGTTATTGTATGTCATTAGTGAGTCATTTGTACATTATTAGTTAGTCATTCCTAAGTCATTATGGGCCTGTCATTGTAAGTCATTAGTGAGTCATCTGTAAGTAATTTTAGGCCTGTCATTGTAAGTCATTAGTGAGTCATCTGTAAGTAATTTTAGGCCTGTCATTGTAAGTCATTAGTGAGTCATCTGTAAGTCATTATAGGCCTGTCATGTATGTCATTAGTGAGTCATTTGTAAGTCATTGTAGGCCTTGTAAGTCATAAGTAAACCATTTACAAGTCATTGTGATAAGATCACATTGTCCATGTTGATGACCTCATTGTCTAACTTGATGATCTTTTATTGTCCAAGTTGATTATCTCATTGTCTAGATTATTATCTTTTGTCCATGTTGATAATGGCTCTATTGTACTCACCAAATGACTAAATTGTCCAACACAGCATCTCCAACATAGTCACCAACATCGACATCGCCCCAACATTGATTGAAATGGCTGGGGGAACAGTCCCAGAGCACATGGACGGAGAATCTTTCCTCAAGCTCATCAAAACAGCCAAGGATCAAAGCAAGTGAGTTGTACCTAAACAGTTAGTCAACATCAAAGTTGTTGTTAATGTAAAAACATATAGCAAAAAGAAAAAAAACTCTTCCAACTACAGGTCTGAATAGTGCTTTTGTTTTTTAATCATTTCTCAAAACATTGATGTATATGATTTAATAGCAATGTATACTTAATGTTTTAAAACTGCTGAAGTTATATGATACCCCAGTTTTTAAACTGTTGTTAATGTAGTCTTTTGTGTTTTTTTAAAAACATTTATCCATAAGATTTGATTACAACACACACACCCTACTACCTACTTTCTGTAATCTTCTGTTTTTCTGAGCATTTTACTAAATGACATGATTTAATTGCAACACATAGGCCTACACTTTATTTTAAAACTGCTAAACCCATAGAAATGAGATGGCATGGTCGGATGGCAGCATTCATAATTGTTCACCCAAAAAGTCTCAAGTTTGCACCCAGTGTGAGAACCTATAGGACATCTCTGAGTCCACCCAGCTCTAATTGGTACCTGACTCATGTTAGGGAAACAAATACAGCTGGGCATAGTGCTCATCACACTATCCCCCAGTATGCAGAAGTGATTTAAACAGATGAACTCTACTTCAACTGCCCCTTGTGTCTTAGGCATGAATGAGAAAAGATGATGATGAAGCCTGTATAAAACCCTCTTTGATGTTGTTGATATTTCTGTCATCCCCAGCGTGGACAACCGTGGATTTGTGAGCACCCAGCCACCGTGGAGGGACACTATACTGTTTGAGAGAGGGTGAGTACACCAGAGCACATGCGCTCAAATGCTGGTCTAGATGTTACTCACAGTGTCTGACAAATATTAAATGTAAATTAGGAACAGATAATTTTTCTTTTATTTAAAAATTAATAGAAAGTAATGAAACAGAAATATTTATCAGAAAACTATAGAGAAAAAATAAACACATTTATATTAAATAATTGACAGAAAATGTTGGAATAGACATTTTTTTTTACTTTATCAGAAAACTGTTAGAGAACATGTAGGCCCCTAACTGAATTTTTTTTTTTTTTTTTTTTTTTGGCAAAATGACCGGGAAAATTTTGAAATAAATTTTTATTTGTTTATTAGGAAACTGACAGAGAAAATATTGAAACAGAAAATATTTTGTTTATCAGAAAACTGACAGAGAAAATGTTGAAATAATTTTTTTTTTAATTTATCAGAAAACTGACAGAGAAAATGTTGAAACAGAAAAAATATTTTGTTTATCAGAAAACTGACAGAGAAAATGTTGAAACAGAAAATATTTTACTTATCAGAAAACTGACAGAGAAAATGTTGAAACAGAAAAATATTTTGTTTATCAGAAAACTGACAGAGAAAATGTTGAAACAGAAAAAATATTTTGTTTATCAGAAAACTGACAGAGAAAATGTTGAAACAGAAAATATTTTGTTTATCAGAAAACTGACAGAGAAAATGTTGAAACAGAAAATATTTTGTTTATCAGAAAACTGACAGAGAAAATGTTGAAACAGAAAATATTTTGTTTATCAGAAAACTGACAGAGAAAATGTTGAAACAGAAAATATTTTGTTTATCAGAAAACTGACAGAGAAAATGTTGAAACAGAAAATATTTTGTTTATCAGAAAACTGACAGAGAAAATGTTGAAACAGAAAATATTTTGTTTATCAGAAAACTGACAGAGAAAATGTTGAAACAGAAGATGAAAGAGGAGGAAATGACGATCCTCAACCAACAAGGCAGCTCCAAACAGATGCACTACTACATCTCAGCCGCGGCACGCAAACAAAATGCTGACTGTGAGAAGAAAGAATTCCAGCCTCCATGTAAACCACAGCAGGTAAACCTGTTACTAGTGGCTTATAGTTATAGGGCTTCACTTAAAACAGTAAATCAGAGTGGCTACTTCTGCAATATTTTTGCTTTTTATTTTGTCTACTTAACTGGATAAAGCATTGTTTTGTTAGAAAACTAATTTTGATTTGGTGTCATCTCCTAAATGGTGTCACCCACCTTGATACACTAATGCATTTAACACATAGATAAGTTTATAATTCCTAGTTTAATGTTTGTTTAATTTGTAAACCACCTATAAATGGTCTGTATGTATGTTAACATTACGGTCCATTGGAGAAGGTGAAGTAGAGTTCTCCTGTTAAAACTGCAACAGCAACTTTGCATATAAAGGGATTGTGTGATCAACACTATGCCCAGCAACCTTTGCTCACCCTAATACGGGTCATGTACGCATCAGAATTTGGTGGACTCAGTAATGACATCATGGGGACTCACCCAACCCTAAATCTGAACTATTTACAGAATATATATATATTTATTTAAAAAACTTTCAGAAATGGTATTGTATGGAGCAAGACGGCGTACTTAAAAAGTTGAAATGCCGACACAACAAAACAAATGACAGTTCAGCAGTTTTGAAAGACCAGCCCCAGCCAACCCAGCCTATGACCTATACCTGTCCGTGTCGCTCCAGGAGACACAGGAAACAGAACAGACTGGAACGTCAGCAGAAGGAGTTCAGGAAGAGACACATCAGGGACAAGAGTGAGCTAGCACTTATTTGTTTTCTCAACTTACTTACTTAATCCTCATCACTCCCTGTGGAATGTAGGGCAGTAACAAATCTCCGCCATTCCGCTCTGTCCTGACAAAAAAAAGGATTTATTTTCTTTAGTCTTTTTTTTTTGTTTTAACAAGTTTAATCATTACAATTCGTTTATTTTAATTTTTAATTAATCAATTTAAATTAATATTTTTGTGATTGTTTAAATTTTTTATTGATTAATTCAAATTAATTTTAAAAATTATTTTAATATTAATTTTTGTGGCAGCTCTAAAGTATTGATTAGGTTACATAGCCAAGAATTTTTGCTGTCAAATTTAATAAAAAATACCAGCCTTAACTTTTAAAGTTTTTTTTTTTTTAACCTGACTGTCCATGAGGAAAGTGAAGTAGAGTTCACTTGTTTCTGTGACCTCGGCATATGAAGAGATGATGTGGTCAGCATCATGCCTAGCTGCCTTTTTACTTTCCCTAAAATGAGTCAGGTACCCATCAGAACTGGTGGACTAAAAGACGTTCTACTGACTTGAATCCGGATTTGAACTCAAGACTTTTGGGCTATAGTCTAGCACTCTACCACTAGGCCACAACATCTGACATACTTTATGCACTATACTATTAATAACTTAACAGTTTTACATTGGAAGAGTCAAATGTCTAACACTGGTCCGAGGATTACTAACTTTTTTGTACTTTTTGTGTTGCTGATGTAACATGTTCCATTTTGTGTCAGGAATGAACAAGCTACAGCGGTACAGAAGGAACCTGGAGACCAGCGTGGCTCTTGCGCCTTTATTTAACGGAACATTCCGTGAGTTTCCTTCTTCTTCTTCTTCTTCGTTCTTAATTATTAGTGTTGAAGAGGATCGAGATTTATCTGCCAGTGGGTTTGAACTCGAGACTTTGGTAGAATTTATCAAACATGAGCTTTTTGCCGACTCGACCACGCCTCCAACACAATTAAGCGTTACGTGTCAACTGGTTATGCGCCATTGAGGCCATTGACTCCGATTTCAGCCTGCTGTTCTGTTTGGATTTGCTTCCATAGCCTTTGTCCAACCAAGAACAAACTACAAGGCAGCAGTTGTTTAAATTTGGAGTTGTCTCTCCTAGAAGAGTGGCTGTCCCCAGCTAACGAGCCTCATCTGCCCGAGGGTTCGAACTCGAGACTTTTCGGTTTAGCAACCATGAGCTTTACCGACTCGACCATGCCGACCCCCGTGAGTTTCCAACTTGATAGAACACATGAGACTATGGAAAAAAAAACAAATTTCTTTTTTATTTTATCTTGGTATATTCATTTGAATGTTGGTGTTTATTTTTTAGGCGTTTTTGTGACAATGCTAAACAGACTGTGTAGAATTTTAGTTTAACAATAAAATTTATTTGATCTTGATAAGAAGCATTTTGAATGTCACTATGCTACTTTTTTATTAGCTGGTTTTGAGGCGATGCTAAACAGACGGTGTAGAATTTTATCCAATCAGTCGGTCACGTGTGACCTTGACATCTATCAAAAGGCCTCAGAATGGGAGAGCCACAAGGAGACTGTGGACACTATGATCAAGGAGTACAGAAAAGCTCTGGAGGACTTAAGGGTGAGTTTTTCATGAAATATATTTACATGTAAACTCATATTCTTCAACATTGCATTGTGTTTAATTGAACTTTTTTTAAATTAGTTTTTCTTTAAAATTCATATATCATCATCATCATTGTTCCTTTGTGGCCCCCTGGAGAGCAAAGGACTGCAATTACACATTTGGACTCGGTTTTGGGCTACTCCCTTAATCTCCCTTAGTAACGTTCAATCATTTGTGAATGTGATAAATGTTAAAGTCTTTAGTTAATAAGCATAAGACATTTTAATTGCTGTGTACTTTAAAAAAATATTTTGTTTTAAAACCTGCATGAACGTTTTGAAAAACTTAAAAAAAATTATTTAAAAAAAGTAAGATTCACACTCTTGAAAAAAGATGGAGGATAGAATTTTTTTTAAGTGGCAAGTGGTGTTTTGTAGGTTATGAATGTGAGCAAGTTATAGCGAAACAGAAGATTAATCCCACAGAAGATTAATATGACCAAAGATTAATGTGATAGAAGATTAACATAAGAGAATAACTGTGACAGATTATTAAATTGCCAGAAAATTGATTTAACACATTTCACACAGGATATTCGAAGACATCTCAGAGAACAGAAGCCTCAGGATGCCATCGACCATGAAGAGGAGGAAGACGTCAGCTTTGATTTCAAGGATCATGAGTTCTGTGTGTGTGACGAGATGGGGAACGTCATCGAAACTCGCAGAGGGAAGTGAGTTGTCTTAACCTATATTTGTCACTGACATTAAACCTATATTTTTATCACTGATGTTAAACCTATATTTGTCACTGATGTTAAACCTACATTCATTACTGACATTAAACCTATATTCGTCACTGACATTAAACCTATATTCATCACTGATATTAAACCTATATTCATCATTAACGTTAAACCTATATTCACCACTGACATTAAACCTACATTCATCAATGACCGTAAACCTATATTCATCATTGACTGTAAAATAATGTTTTGTCACTGACATTAAACCATCATTGACAGTAAAACAAGTGAACACAATTGTAGTGGGTAGAAAATGTAAAACATCTGTTGTTTTTTGTACATTTTCACAATAGGGCTTTTCAGATAAATGTAGGTTGTAGAGAACCATTTTTTTGGAAATTTTGTGTTAAAAATTAAAGCTTACAAAAATTTGAATGTTTTTAAATGATTTCAGTGGTGACAGCACAAAATATCCCAGGAAAATATTTCTCCAACCAATTTCTCAGACAAATATATCCCCAAGGACAAAATATTCCAGAGGACAAAAGATTTTATTACAAAATATCCTAAAGACAATATATCTCTGACAACAATTTTTATCTTTTCTCACTTGTATCATCTATCCCCTTGTTAATGAGTTCCACCTGGTCATGTCTTAAGTGCTGCTTACATTACCCAGACACTCACCTGTGCTTGTATTGAAATCACTTTGAACTGTTACAGGAAGATTGACAGCAACCTCACCCTACAGGAGGAAAAAATTCTCAACCAGGAAGAACGTAAACGTCTGAGACGGATGCGGAGGAAACGTAAACAAAGCAACTTTTGTAACATGAAGAGCATGAACTGCTTCACACACGACAACGAACATTGGAAGACCCCGCCCTACTGGAACTGTGAGTGTTAACCCTTTCTTGCTCATTACCTTTTTCCTTTTAAAACAATTTTGTTTTAATGGTGAATTGAGTGTTTATGTGACAGCGTGGCCCAGTGTTTGAACGCTAGAGTGTTAACTTGAAAGTCTTGAGTTCCCATTTGGGTTAAAGTCAGTAGAATGTCCTTGAGTCTATCCAGCACTAATTGGTACTTAACTCATGTTTGGGAAAATAAAGACAGCTGGGCAAAAGGCTGACCACACTCTCCCTTCATATGCCGGGGTAACAGAAACAAGTAAAACTCTACTTCATTTACCCCTTGGGCCGTAAAGTTTAAAATGGAACTTTAAAATGTAGTGTTGAGTAATTAAATATTCAAAACTAAAATAAAATGCATTCTTAAAATGTTTTCAAAATTATTTCAACAAAAAGTCTTATTTAAAGAGTTTTTAACTTTATGAATGAAATTACGATTGTAATGTTTACCTTGTAAGTAAAGCAAATAACAGGGCTTAGCGTGTTTTACAAGCTGCTGACGACTTTTCAATTTATTAAATGTTACATAACAAAATACACATCTAGCTGCTGCCTAAGTCAGAAACTGGGAATTCCAACACTGCCTTATTAATTCCAAACTGATAACTTAATGGGAATACCAACACTTCCTAATTAGTTCTTAACTCCTCCATTGATAGAAATACCCACACTTTGTAATTAATTCCTAATTCGTCTCTTGACTGGAAAACCAACAGGTCCTTATTAATTAGTAATTCATCCATTGATGGAAAATAGCAACATTTCTTTAATTCCTAATGAAGGGAATACAAACATCTCCACCTCATTAATTTCTCATTGTTCCTCTGCTGATTGATTTCCCATTGTCCCTCTGCTATTCCCAGACGGACCCTTCTGCTTTTGTGCCAACGCCAACAACAACACGTACTGGTGTCTGAGGACCATCAACCAGACTCACGACTTCCTCTACTGTGAGTTCATCACATCTTTCATGAGCTTCTATGATCTCAAGAAGGACCCTCATCAGGTAAGTGATTACATCCTTTATGTAATTCTATGATCTCAAGAAGGACCCTCATCAGGTAAGTGATTACATCCTTCATGTAATTCTATGATCTCAAGAAGGACCCTCATCAGGTAAGTGATTACATCCTTTATGTAATTCTATGATCTCAAGAACTTCATCAGGTAAGTGATTACATCCTTCATGAGCTTCTATGATCTCAAGAACTTCATCAGGTAAGTGATAACATCCTTCATGAGATTCTATGATCTCAAGAAGGACCCTCATCAGGTAAGTGATAACATCCTTCATAAGATGCTATGATCTCAAGAAGGACCCTCATCAGGTAAGTGATTACATCCTTCATGAGCTTCTATGATCTAAAGGACCCTCATCAGGTATTATAATTTATAGTCCATCACATTCTTCATGAGATTCCATGATCCTCTTTGGCTATAAATTGACAACCTTTAGTATTCTCTTGCCATTCTGAACTGACTCTATTCCTCTGTGTAATTTACCATTGACATTCTCTCCTCCACAGCTGAAGAATGTGGTGACCGAACTAAATTACGGCATCATCCAGCAGCTTCATGACCAGCTCAAGAAATTAAAACACTGCAAAACCAGTAAAGATTGTTACATCCGCAGTAACCAAAGTAAGCATACAGGTTAACTGCTATGTTATTCTTACCTTGTTTTTAATTTAATCCCAAAGATAAATTTTCAGAGGTTAATTGTTATCCAAAGTAAACATATTGAATATGGACTTACTTAGCTTTTTCTTTTTCAATTTTATTTTCTTACTACACAACTAAGTTTACTGTTGGAAAACTATTAGTGGGCAGCACTACACCCCACAAACTACTGACTATGCCTGCTCCCTTCCCCATTCTACTTTCTTACACCACCCTTCTTTAACTTTAAAGTTCTTTTTTTTTTGAGCCCAACAGTCCATGGGGCAAGTGAAGTAGAGTTTACCTGTTTCTGATACCTTGGCATATGTTGGGATAGTTTGAGCAGAACTATGCCCAGCTGCCCTTACTTTCCCTAATGTTAGATAGGTACCCATCAGAGCTGGGTGGACTCATGAACATTCTGCTGACTTGAAACCGGACTCGACTTAAGACACTTAATTAGCATTCTAGCACCCTACCTCTAGGCCATACCGACCCCCATCTTAACATACTACTTATCTATTGTGTCAAATAACCTGTATTCTTAATATCATTCCTAGTTACAATTTCCCTAAAGTTTGGAATTAATAGAATTAATAAAATATTGAAGGAATATTAATGTAAGAGGCTAGTAAAGTATTACAAAAATTATGCTACAAGCATGCCTCACCGTAACACACCAACCAAACACACCATGTCATCTATTCTCACACTGTAACTCCTGCTCATTACACAAAGGAGGAAGGGAGAGGAGTGTCTATAAAAGTCTGAAAGAAACACTGGTTTTAACTTTCACACGTTTAACAATATACTTAGACTTAAATACAGAAAAAATGAGAATCGAATTTTCTTTTTCATTATATTATTTTTTAATTTAGCCTTACATTTAAAAACATACATTTTAAGTCGATATAACATAAAATTTAATGCCCCAAAACGGTTAATTCCTTAAAAAAATCAGTTGAAAAAAAACACTAAATACAATTTTTATGTTATCTGACCAAAAATCAGAACAATGTATCAAAATGGCAACACAAAAGGTAGGGTTTTTATTTACCGAGCTTGGGTAACATTATGGTTTTTGCATTATGCATTTTTTTCCTAAGGTTAATTAAATTTATATGCTTTAAGGTTGTATCCATTGATTTCAAATGCTTTGGCTCTTTAAGAAATGCAATATTTAATTTTAAAAAATAGCCTGTGACAAAATGTGTTTTACTTTACTCTTTACAAAAATATAACTTACAAAGTCAATAAAGGGCCAATAATCACAATTTTCTGCTATAGAATAAAAAGTAAGGAATTAATTGAGTGATTTTAAGACTTGAATATGAAGATTATTTTAATTGTTGGTATTAATGTAACCTTTTGCTTAGTAATTAAGATGTATATGACTTATTTATAGCCTAATAAATTTTGATTAAAAAATTACTGAATTTATAGCACAAAAAGATTCTGAAAAATGAAAAGGTACCAAAGTGGCAAACTGAGCAAAAAGTTTTTAATTTCCCACAATTTTTTTTTCTGATAGTTTCTTTATGCTTTAATTTTCTCCAACTTTTTACAATTATATTATTTATTTTTATTAAATAATTTCTAATCAAATTAGATTTGAAATTTTTCTTTGTCATTAGATAAACTTAAATGCAAAGTTGAGAGAACTCACTTGAATAGAAACAGGAATTAACAATAACTTACTACGAAGAAGCTTTTAGTATATATGTTTTTAAAACTTATTATATATTTAACATATTATATGTTCTAAAACATGCAACAAATTATTAAAAAATGCATTTTTTTTTTTTGGATTTTTATTTTCTCAAATATTATTTTATAAAGCAAATTCTTTTAATTTTTAATTTTTTTCCCCCCCCCCAGAAAATCGATTCCCCCATGACCCAGACTGGAGTGGGCGTGAATACCTGAAAAATGCAGCCAAGAGTAAAGTGGTACAGCCCATAGAGGATGACTACTTGGATGATGATTTAGAGGAGGAATACTATTACACAGATAACAATAATGGGAGACAAGCTACTACAGTGAAACAGGATAATGATTATGAATGATCTCCCTTGAATGTATGCTTTGTATGAGTGATGTGATTGAAGGTTTGTCTGTTCGAAATGTGATAAATTACCCCTGCCAAAATGTCCTGACCCAAGAATTAGTCTTGTGTCTTTGAGCAGAGTAAGTCTATTGTACAGGTGAGCCCATGAAAAGAATGAAGATTGTTGTTATTTTTAATTTATTGTGAATGAAACTTGGTGTATTGTATAAAATGTATTCAACAATAATGTTAATAGTTCAATTTTTGTTCCTATGCTGACTTTAACTTGATAGGTTGCTCTTTTGAATTTAATTTTTACCCTCCACATTAAGCTACCTGTAAGAAAACAGAAAAAAAGTGAAACATCATAAAATTAATATGAATTTTATAATTACTTTAATTAATTTTTTAAAACAAATTACATTAAAAATTACTGTTTTAACAGTTTGACAGCTAAAGATAATTTATACAAATTAATTATGTAAATTTATTTCTGTATCTGTGGTTCTTCTTCACCTGTGAAAACATGCTGATCACATTTCCTCCATTTTTACCAAACCAATTTTTTTTGTCAAACTTGACATTTATGTCAAGCTATGACAATGCAACATGACATGAGCTTTGACATAATTAGTTTTTGAATTAATTAAAAATTTAAAAATAATTAAGATTGCTAAACAATGTGCTAAATATTTTAAAAGTATTTTTTAATAAGTGTTTAAGCCTGTTAGTATTTTGGCTCGTTTACATTTAGAGATTGGGCTAAATTTTTCAAACGTTCAACGTTCTATATTTTAGAAAAAGCTTTTATTCATTGTTATAGAGACGAAAGTGCATCATTAAATTTAAAGAATTAAATTTTTTTTTTAAATATGTATAAAATGTGTTATTTAACAAGGTTTTTTAAAATTTATTATTTAAAGTAGAATCTTTTTCTCTTAAGTTTTTTAATTCAATAATTTTTTATATGAGCAATATAATAATTAATATATCTTATTAATTAAAGTTACCTTGGAAAGCTTTAGTTTCAATGTATTTAATACTTGTTATTTGGACAGCAATAATTGTTAAAATATCAATAAATTGTTACACATTGTTTTTCATTGAAGCATATCAAATTTATGAAGTTTTAAGTCCACCCAAAAATGTTGAACAGTTTTATATTTTTCTCTCAAATAGATAGTAAAAAAAAAATTGAGTTATATATATATGCATACACACACATATTATGTACATTTTCATCAAATAATAAAGAAAATAAATAAGGTCAAAAGAAAAAGATATTCCATGTTTAACAAAATGGTATCCCTCTCTTTATTGTAATAAATATATTTGCTAAAGTATGTTAAGTTGTAATGTCATTTCAATGCAATAAGTTTTGAATTTAAAATTTCATGTTTACAAATGCATTTTAAGATGTATTATTTATAAAGCTACTATGAAAGTAACCTTTTAGATAAATTCTATCTATACATGACTTAATCCTGTTGATTTATATTGTATATTTATTGTCTGTAAATTTATGTTCATTGCTATTTCCTGGTTTGTATTTCTTGAAAATTTTGATTTAAGTGAATTGTAAAGAACATGTTAAAAGAAAACTGCCATATCATTTTGTTGTTGTATTAACGGCATACTTATTTTTTTTTTCTTTAGTAAGATATTATAGAATTGTATAGTCATAGAATTGAAACAATAGTTTGATGGTTAGAACCTCAGAGGAGGTAACTCAGATTAACTTGATAGAATGGAGTAACTAAAGGGAAGCTACTCCAATCTGCTGAAGTTTAGAGTTCAACCTACACAGAAGTAGATTTAATATTAAACAAAAAATAACAATACTTTCTTCAAGTACATGTTTTATATGCTTTTTATGACTACAAGCATTAATATTTTGTGTAGAATAATTTTATATTTTTAATGTAAAAAACATTTTGCATAAACTTTATTTTCCTCCAGCATTATCTCCCTCTACAGCTTGATACAATGAAATTAAATGGCAAAACTGTTCAGTCTTCAATAAAATGTTGAGAACTAATTCGATGAGTTGTCTTTCTATTGGCAGTTAGTTCCTGATAATCTTTAAAGTGTGTTTCGTTGTTTGTGTGTTTGTAGGTGTGTTACATGATTAGTGAAGAACAAAAGATTATATAAATGACATAAATGTGTTTATTATACTGGATTGATGTTTACATGATTGTTTATGTTAAATGTATAGGATTGGCAAGAGTAAGGTTGGGTCTATGCTAGGCTGGGTTACAATGGTTTTTCATGTGTAGAGTTGTCTTGTATACAAAGGTGATATATGAACGTGATATGTGGGTTTGTGTAATATATGAATGTGATATTTAGGGTTGTGTAATATATGAACGTGATATGTAGGGTTGTGTAATATATGAATGTGATATGTAGGGTTGTGTAATATGTGATATGTAGGGTTGTGTAATATATGAATGTGATATGTAAGGTTGTGTAATATGTGAATGTGATATGTAGGGTTGTGTAATATATGAATGTGATATGTAGGGTTGTGTAATATATGAACGTGATATGTAGGGTTGTGTAATATGTGATATGTGAGGTTGTGTAATATATGAATGTGATATGTAGGGTTGTGTAATATATGAACGTGATATGTAGGGTTGTGTAACATATGAATGTGATATGTAGGGTTGTGTAATATATGAATGTGATATGTAGGGTTGTGTAACATATGAATGTGATATGTAGGGTTGTGTAATATATGAATGTGATATGTAGGGTTGTGTAATATATGAACGTGATATGTAGGGCTGTCTTGTATACGAATGTGATGTGTAGGATTGCCAAGTATACAATTGTGATGTGCAGGGTTGTCTTATGAATGATTATTATGTGTATGATTGTGATGTGTAGAGTATGAATGTGATCTTTACAGTTTGATTGTGTAGGATTGTCATGGCTGAAACACCGTCAGCTGAACACGTGATATTGTTTACACAAATTTGCTGTTTCATCTTGCCCCGCCCACTTCACAGCAATGATAAAAAATATATCAGACCCGTGTGAACATCCGGGTCACAGAACGAACTTTGACCCCATTTATGACTAGACCTAGATCAAGGGCGTAGTTGGATTTGAGTGTAGGGTAGGTGAGGGTGAATAAAAAAAGGGAAAGAATATCATGACAAAAGTAAAGGCACTTTGGTGTTGTTGATTAAATGTATGCTACGACCATAAGTAAGAAAACGTTTTGAACAATTTTGGAAATATGTAATGTGTGGTTGGCGAAGCCGTATTAATGGCAGCCCCACCCTCCTTCTCTCCACGCCTTTGACATAGCAATTACATAATATTTTTTTTATGGTGTATGACGGACTTATAAAGAAACTATAATATAATTTTTTTTTCTAAACCATAACAACATTGACACTTAAAGTCATTAAGGTAATTAAAATAATAATAAAGTGAAGAATATCATTGAAATATTTAAAAAAAAAATGAGCAGTTGGGCTTTTCGGAAAATTTTGTAGCTCTTTGACGCAGCTTAAAACTAAAAAGTCCTTGACGAAATAGCCCAACCACCCCTTGCCCACCCCACAGGTTTGACCTCTTGTCTTCCTAAGATTTTTTTTTTGCCTAATTAATCCAGCCCGCTTAAAATCGACCCCGGGAATTAAAATATACCACACCTGTGGCTGAGTGGTTGGTGACTTTGTCAAACACTTGAGGACAGTCGTGGACCCTTCATCACTCAGTTAATGTGGGGGTGGGGGGGGTGGATGGAGCTTCAAGGGTCCTAATGCTACCAGTGGGTCTAAATCTGGGAACGATGTGTCTCCACAATGTCTGGAATAGTGTCCGAAGCAGCACCATCTGTTGATTACTGTAGTTAAGTCGCATACATATACTCTAGGGAGGGAGGGATGGGGGGGGGGGGCGACGACAATTTAAATGATGACAGATAACTTTTGACCCCCCCCCCCTCCCCATCGCTTATTTTTTTTTTTAAATTGTATACTGTAAATTAATGAGACGCAGTTCTACCGACCCCCCCCCCCTAAAAATAAAAGAAATACTGAGGCGAACTAGCGATACAAAGAGATAGTTGCCATCCCTATAAGTTGTCTGTACTGTAAATAGAACCGTTCACCGCTAGACTATGAACCTGAAAGTCTTGTGTTCGGATACCGGGCTCGAGTCTATACTACGTCCCTGAGCCCACCCAGCTCTAATGGGTACCTGACAGGAGACAGGGGTGCTGGGCATAGTTGTGACCACAATATCCTCCTGTATGTCGAGGTCATTGAAACAAATGAGCTCTACTTCATATGTACCATGTCCCTGGTGTGTTGGGTATAGACGCGAAAATATACTGAATCTAACAGTTCAATCTGCCCTATAACAATATGCTCTGTCTGATCACGTCTAAGGCCATCACTGTGATCACGTCTATGGCCATCACTGTGATCACGACTGTATATGACCATCACTGTAATCACGTCTATGGCCATTACTGTGATCTGTACTGTATATGGCCATCACTGTGATCACGTCTATGGCCATCACTGTCATCACGGCTATGGCCATCACTGTGATCACGTCTGTCTATGGCCATCACTGTGATCACGTCTGTCAATGGCCATCACTGTTATCACGGCTATGGCCATCACTGGGATCACGTCTAAGGCCATCACTGTGATCACGTCTATGGCCATCACTGTGATCACGTCTATGGCCATCACTGTGATCACGTCTATGGCCATCACTGTGATCACGTCTGTCTATGGCCATCACTGTGATCACGTCTGTCAATGGCCATCACTGTTATCACGGCTATGGCCATCACTGGGATCACGTCTAAGGCCATCACTGTGATCACGTCTATGGCCATCACTGTAATCACGTCTATGGCCATCACTGTGATCACGTCTGTCAATGGCCATCACTGTGATCACGTCTATGGCCATCACTGTAATCACGTCTATGGCCATCACTGTGATCACGTCTGTCTATGGCCATCACTGTGATCACGTCTATGGCCATCACTGTAATCACGTCTATGGCCATCACTGTGATCACGTCTGTCTATGGCCATCACTGTGATCACGTCTATGGCCATCACTGTCATCACGTCTATGGCCATCACTGTGATTACGCCTGTCTATGGCCATCACTGTGATCACGTCAATGGCCATCACTGTGACCACGACTGTCTAAGGCCATCACTGTGATCACGTCTATGGCCATCACTGTGATTACGCCTGTCTATGGCCATCACTGTGATTACGCCTGTCTATGGCCATCACTGTGATCACGTCTATGGCCATCACTGTCATCACGTCTATGGCCATCACTGTGATTACGCCTGTCTATGGCCATCACTGTGATTACGCCTGTCTATGGCCATCACTGTGATCACGTCTATGGCCATCACTGTGATCACGACTGTCTATGGCCATCACTGTCATCACGTCTATGGCCATCACTGTGATCACGACTGTCTATGGCCATCACTGTGATCACGACTGTCTAAGGCCATCACTGTGATCACGTCTATGGCCATCACTGTCATCACGTCTATGGCCATCACTGTCATCACGTCTATGGCCATCACTGTCATCACGTCTATGGCCATCACTGTGATCACGTCTGTCTATGGCCATCATTGTAATCACATCTATGGCCATCACTGTGATCACGACTATGGCCATCACTGTGATCACGTCTATGGCCATCACTGTGATCACGTCTGTCTATGGCCATCACTGTGATCACGACTGTCAATGGCCATCACTGTGATCACGACTGTCAATGGCCAATGCGACTGTCTATGGCCATCACTGTAATCACATCTATGGCCATCACTGTGATCACGACTATGGCCATCACTGTGATCACGGCTGTCTATGGCCATCACTGTGATCACGACTGTCAATGGCCAATGCGACTGTCAATGGCCATCACTGTGATCACGACTGTCTATGGCCATCACCGTGATCACGATTGTTTGCCTACAAGCATGGGAACGTTTTAACGGGTAGATAACACAAGATAAACAAGTCGACCAATTTTTATCAGCCAGAGTTTGTCTATCCACATTTCATACGGGGTCACTTGTACGGGAACCCCACTTGTACGGTTGTTGTTTTGGTTTTTAGTGTGTACACAAATTTTAATGAGCCCTTTAATTGTAGGCCTATATTGTGATACGATGGTTAATTAAGTGTAGGCCTTTTTCTGGTTTTGTTGATGGATCTAAAATAATTCATACATCAGGACTATTAATTTTGGGTAAGCGTTCGTAACAATTATTTTTAAAATACATATTTTGTATATAATTAAAGTATTCATTTAAACCGTTCTTAAAGGACGTTTTTAAAATTCAAAAATAATTCTGTAAATAAATATTTAAATTTATTTTTAGATGGCTGCGAGCTAGAAACGAATCAAATCTTTATTATCAGAAATTGTGAGAGATGAATTCACAAAACTACACAGCTCTCGCTCAAAACGAAGAAAAGGTAAGGGAAGCTACTGCGAAAAATGAAGCGCCAGATTCGAGTTGCGGAGTTTTTTCCCTTAGACCGCGCATCCTTCAACCCTGTGCCAACATTATGAGCTACACATTGTTTTACAGTATGGCGGGCCTTTTCTCTTCAACTCTATCTTCTTATGTTAATTCACAGGTAATTAAAAATGAATTAATAATAATGTAATTTAGGTTAAAAAATGTTTAATTAAGATATGTAAGAGGATAAAGGGAAGACTAGTCATTTCGTATATGTATGCGGTTGGGACGGGTATGGAGAAATGTGATACAACACATACTTTTTGTATGTTCTTTTTTCTTTCTATTCTAATTTTTGTACGACGCGGTCGAATGCTAGAGCGAACGACTGCTAACCCAAAAATCTCGAGTTCGAATCCCGGGTTCGTGGGTAGAACGTTCCTGAGTTCACCCAGCTCTAATGGGTACCTTGCTCACGTTAGGGAAAGTAAAAAGGTGAACTCTACTTCGCCGAATAAAATAAATGGCTAAAATATTTTTAGGTAGAGATGGCCTAAAAAATGACGTCACTCAACTCACAGACGATAGTAACTCACGAACGTAACTTTTCTTTAGAAAAAAAAAATATCAACAGATTACCAGCAACCCCGTCCCTCAACAAAACAAACTTCTACACCAACAACAGCCCTCCCCCTCTCCGATTCACAAAGATATTTATTAATAATAATTCAATTAAAATAACGATTTAATTATTCGAATATTGAATAACACACATGCAACCTCACCACCCCCACCCTCCAATCAGAGTTTCTTCCAGGCATCTCTTCGGGGGGGGGGGGGGGGGGTTTCAAAGCCCCCCCCCCCCCCCGAAAAAAGTCTACCCCACCCCCCCCCTCCCCGAACGAAATGGAATTTATATAGCAAATATATAGATTTAACAGTGTCTCCCCCCCCCCCCTCCAAAGAAAATCTACCCCCCCCCCTAAAAATTTCAAGTGCCCCCCGGAGAAAAAAAGTCTGAAAGAAACACTTCCTACAATCCCAAAGTAGCACATCGTCACAAACGTTTAACCCACCACTTCACTATTTAACGACAAACTCTAGTCTAAAATTGAAAGATACATCAATGCGAAAGGATGTAAAATTAACTACTCACCCAGGTAACGACTTTAGAGCGACAGTTTGGGTTCAGTTCCAAGCAGACCGGACTAATTCTGGCAGCCAACGACATCGGGTACCTGATCTCTGTATTGTTCATCAGCTTCTCAGCGGCCAGGATTCACATTCCCAGGGCGCTCGGTGAGAGTTGTCGTTCTTTTTAACGTTTGAGAGTTACCGTTACTGTTTTGTTTCGATTTTACACTGTTGGGGTTTAAGGTATTGAGTTGCTGTTTATTGATTATATGTTATCGTTACTGTTGTATTGTAATCTGACGCTGTTCTGGGGTTAGGGTTGAGAGTTAGTGTTTGTTGATTATAATGTTATCGTTACTGTTGTTCCTTTCTCGTATACACAGAGTATAGAAAGAGTATTGTAATCGTGCAAAAAAAAAAAAAAAAATAAAAAAAATCGAGATTTGCGCACCAAGTGAACGGTAAACAATCTATATATATTATTCTCTTCTGGGAGACGCTAGAAAACAAGCTGTAAACGCGCTCCCTACCATCCCCATCCCTACGTGGTCTTAGTGAGCTGCGGTTCACGCTATGTTTACGTTCGTGGAGTCGGGTTTAGTGACGGCTATTAGGGGCAGATAATTTAGTTTTAAACAATTTTATACGTTGGGGGGGGGGGGGGGGGGGGGGGGGGAAGGAAGGGGGGGGGGTTGGTCCTTAACGAGCTACTTATAGTGTTTTAAAGAAATATTTTCAGTGTCAGCGTTGGTACTGTCGATTTCACAAATTATGAATTACTGAAAAGTAGAAAATAAAACAACTAAATAGCGGCGTATGATACGCCGCGGGGCGGCTCGTATGTGTATAATAGTGCTGATTACTAGTACTTTATAAATTCCTACGCCTTTTTTTTTAAATTGAAAATAGCGTAAAGTACTACTTACGGTCATCGGAAATTACTCAAATTTTGACAGAAGGTGGAGAATTAGATCTTTCACTTACATGTGCAATTTTATTTATCTGTCTAAAATAATACTCAAGTTATAGACTTTTGAAAAATTGAAAGGAGAATAAGTTCCACTTCCGGTTACCGGAAATTGCTGAAAAAGTTGATACAGAACCACACATTTGATATAATACTTATATATGAAATTCATCAACCTAGCCGTAATGGTACTCAAGTTATCATGTCCACAAACATACACACACTGACAAAATTGCAAAACTATGTTTTTGTTACTCAGGGAGGGGTAGAAGGTTGAGATTTATGAAAATCTCGGTTTTGATTTCTTTTACGATTATTTTTTTTTATTAAATACTTCGTAAACAAGATGAAAGGACGATTCATAATCATACAGACAAGCCAGTTTCAATAATTTTTAAAGAAAATTACAATGTGTTTAACTTAAATTTTTTTTAACAAGGCTAATGTTTTTAATATTCTAGCTGGAGTCAAATATAATCCTTAAATCTATTAATAAACATACATTAGACAAAAAATTATAATCAATCTTTTATTTTATATTAAATAAAATTAAAAAAAACAATTTTGTTTATTTTTATTTTATGATCTTTTGAGTTTCTGTTCGGTTTAAATATAGTTGGGGAACATGGTTAAGAGTTGTTTCTCTTTGTATTGAATTTTTTTAAAATTATCGGCCGCTATGAAGCATTCAACATTAAACAATGCGGACATTGGTTGAAGATCGTAGTGTGTTAAAATATATAAAGTAATGAAATATTATCATATTGATTTATGTATAGTAAAATTATAAGCATTTATAAATATGCAACATATATATATATATATATATATATATATATATATATATATATATATATATATATATATATATATATATATATATATATATATATACATATTTAACAGTGTTTCTTCGAACATTTTTTCTCCGGGGGGGGGGGGCATTTGAAATTTTCGGGGGTGAGGGGGTGGGGCGGACACTGTAAAAAGAATATATTTCTATATAATTTCCTGGAAGAAACTCTGGTTGCTGCAACTTTGGAAGAAAAAAAAATTAAGGCCGCTTGGCAGGATAACATTCAATTTACAGTGTGTCATTTTTATTGACACTTGGTTTTTTTTTAAAATTTAACACGAAAAACATTTTTTAAAGTTAATCTATAAAATCATTTTTTTTTGAGTGCTTGTGGATAAATGTTATTTTTTTCTTTGAGCTGGCCACATTAAGTTATATACTTGAGAAGCACGGACTCCCCAAATCTATTCCTACACACCAACTTACGCAGCCTTTTATGAGATTTTCACCAATACGTTACCAATGGTGTATTTATTTTAGACGTGGCCTTTGTTTCTAAAACAGAGTTATTTAAATATAAAAAATGTCGGCACTTTTTTCTTGGATCTCAGTTGTTGGGGCGTTAGGGTTGTCCACACTACCACCTATAAAATGGCCTATACCCAAATGAAAATGTCCTATACCCAAATGAAAATGTCCTATACCCAAATGAAAATGTCCTATACCCCCAATGAAAATGTCCTATTCCCCCAATGAAAATGTCCTAAATCCCCACGAAAAAGTCCAATACCCCCATGAAAATGCCCTGTTCCTCCCTGAAAATGTCCTAAACCTTCATGAAACTGACCTGTACACCCCCACCTCCCCTCCCCACAGGTGTGGCGACCGTCATCTTTGGTCTGTCTGGACTCATCTGCTCCCTGCCGCATTTCATCTTCGGTGCCCAGACCAGCCTGGACCTTGGTCAAAGTAATGGAACCGTGTCAAGGTCATCGGTCTATGGTGACCTGTGTGTGGACGTGAACGAGACCTCCACGAGATGTGCCGCCAAGCCAGGTAAGTCACGTGTAGACCAGGTGTGTTGTTTCCTAAAATAAACATTTTATTCCCATCCACGTTCCACGCCCTTGAAGATATCATTTTTGGTACTAATAAAACAAGTATTGAAGTTGGGTGAATCTTGATTCATTGATTATAGAGAATGAAGATTTTATGCCCATATAGAATGTAGATTTTATGCCCATATAGAACGTAGATTTTATGCCCCAATAGAACGTAGATTTTATGCACATTTAGAATGTAGATTTTATGCCCATATTGAATGGAGATTTTATGCCCATATTGAATGGAGGATTTATAGCCATTTATTATGTCGATTTAATGCCAATTTAGAATGTAGATTTTATGACAGTATAGAATGTAGATTTTATGTCCTTATAAAGTAGAGGTCTATATGTAGATTTACTGTCAATTTAATTAATATATCATGTATATTTGCTATTCATTAAGATTCTAGCTTTGTTTCTCACGTTGAATGTGGTTTTGATACCAATAAAGAAAGAAAAATTGATGCCCGAATAAAATACTAGTTTTGATGCCTAAGCAGAACGTACTTTTAATTTGTATTTTGAATGTAGATGCCTATACCAAATATTATGTACAAGTTGATTCCCTTTTATAATATAGATCTCCTTATATAATATGGATGCCCAAATATAATGTAGATGCCTAAATATAATCTAGATTTCCATATTGAATAAACATGATTTTAAAAAAAAATGTAGGTGCCCATATAGTTTGTAAATGCACATATTTAATGTAGATTCCCATATAGAATGTAGACTCCTATATAGAATGTACATGCCCATACATAATGTAGATGTCCTTATAGAATGTAGATGTCCATATATAATGTAGATGTTCATATATAAAGTAGATGCTCATATAGAATGTATATGCCCATACATAAGGTAGATGCCCATAAATAAAGTAATGCCCATATAGAACGTAGATGCCCATTTAGAACGCAGATGCCCATTTAAAATATAGATGCCCATAAAGAAAGTAATGCCCATAAAGAAAGTAATGCCCATAAAGAAAGTAATGCCCATAAAGAAAGTAATGCCAATACAAAATGTAGATGCTGATACAAAATGTAGATGACCATACAAAATGTAGATGTTGATACAGAATGTCTATGCCGATACACAATGTATATGTGCTGTCTCTTGCAGCTAACGACACCTGGAAGGTCTACCTCCCTGGGCAGGTGGCTACCGTGTCCCTGGGACTGATCGTGCTGGGCATGATGCTGCAGGGGTTCGGCAAGGCCCCGCGGTCGTCCTTGACAACCACATACGTGGACGACAACACGGTCAAGTCGAGCACCGGATTTTATTTGGGTAGGCGGACGTGACGTCACTGGTGTTTCTTTCAGGCATATTTTCGGGTTGAGGAGGGGGGGGGGCAGTGTCCCGAAGCACGTCTACCATCCCCACTCCAAAAGATATAGCATGTGTATTGAGAAAATGATATAACTTTACGGGTGCCAACCCCCCACCACAGATAATTCAGTCCGCCCCCAATAATTTCAGCAGCCCCCCCCCCCCCCAACGGAGAAAAGAAGTTTGAAAGAAACACTAGACGTGACAACCTGGGTGTGTAAGTGTGTGTGGTTTATATGACTATTAAAACAATGTATTTTAGACCAGGTTTAGATATGTCCGTTTTTGAACTATGTTGTATTTGACCTGGTTTCACTGTGTTGTATTTAATCAGGTTCAACTCTGTTATATTTGATCATGTTCAACTATGTCCGTTTTTGATCAGGTTTAACTCTGTTGTATTTGACTAGGTTCAACAATGTCTTTTATGACCAAGTTAAACTCTGTTGTATTTCACCAAGTTTAACTCTGTTGCATTTGACCAGGTTTAACTCTGTTGCATTTGACCAGGTTTAACCCTGTTGCATTTGACCAGGTATAATCATAGCATGTTCCATGTTTGGGCCTGTCATTGCCTACGTAATGGGCGGAGTCTTCAGCCGGATGTACGTCACACTAGGGGGTGAGTCATAAGTCATGTAAAAGTACTGGTAGTTTATATACACATTAGCGATACTAAGTCATCTCCTCGATAGTCATCTTACAAAACAACACAACTTTACTATAATCTAAGAAAAAAATAACTTTTAGCAGTTGTATTTATTATGTTTTCTGTATTTTAAAGTTGAAATTATTATCTCCCCTAGTTAAACATTACACATTAACTCCCTTTAATTACACCTGTGTTCATAATTATCGGGCAAAGAGGTAGGTCAGTCTTTGAAAGCATTACACATCCGTTCATGATACTAGGCCTGCACGTTAAACACATGTTCAGATGGACAGCGGTTCTAAAAATAAACATTGAAGAGCCAGGAATATTTAAATTAGTCACATGATCAATAAGTAACGTTATTTGCTGAGGTTATAGGGAGGGCGTTGACTCCCTGATCTGACGTCACATATCTAGGATGTGGCTAAAAAAAATAGGATTAGTTGTTATTATTTGATTAGAGATTGTTTGCGTTGAAGTTTAAGTTTTAGACAATTTATTTTTATGGTTACGTTTATGATAAGGTTTATTTTTAGTCGAGTTTTAAATTTCAAACTTTGTTCAGGGTTACTTATAGGGCTAGGTTTAGCTTTAACTGAGTTGGAAGGGCTACGTTCACGGTTAGGTTTAGATTTAATGAAATTTCAGGGTTATGTTCATGTTTAAGTTAAAAGAGGAGTTTTGGGAATACGTTAAGGTTTGGTTTGGTTTTGCTCTAGTGGAGGGCTAGGTTCGGGGATAGCCTTAGCTTTAGAGATGTTGTTTTCTCACTGTAAGTGGGTCGTCAATAAATGACGTCACACTCGTAGGGGGGAAAGGGTCCGAAATTTTGTGACGGTGTGTGATGAGGGAGAGGGGGAGGGGGTTCAGATGGTATGACTTCACACTTTTGCAATGTTAGAAAACAAATTTTAGCCGTGATTTCGCGTTTTAGAA